GCGTTCCCACTGATGTCCTTTTACATTATATTTATAATTTCCAAAACAAACTGATAAATAGTAGTGTTGTATTATCGGGCTAAACGATTTCATCTCGTTATTTTCGCCTATAGGTCAATTAACTATTGACAAGTAACACTTCAACTCTGTTACTCTGTTTTAATCTGATGAAAATGTCTTATATCTAGTAAACACTTAAGCATTATATATACTTAGACTCTTTGACAGGGAGACATATTTCATCAGTAGTGTAAAATTATCAATCCTCATCACATCAGTTTACAGTGCTTGAAAGGCATCGTTCGGTAATCATTATATTGTAAAGTTTGAACGGCCGACCAAGTACAATAGATATCATTTAACATTGCGAGTATTTCAGTTGCTTTCTGAAGGTTGATAACGAACACTACTTACGGACACTATGTCCCACAGTTTTGTCGGATGTATTACTACTACAGCCAACAGAACATTGTGAACAGACTGGGCCGCGTAATCCATCAGAACAGTCTGAAAAATGATAAAGTTTTGAATCGAACATGTAGATATTGAAAGGTATACACTTATTGATGTTGAATACATTTAGCGACACCTGCAGTAATCGTGACGTTGTAATTGGATAATCTGTTGTCTGGTATATTCATCTACGGAAAATTAGTTGTGAAGAGATTTTAATGTACAGAAGAGAAGGTCTATGCTATGCACTATTTCGATATGCAAAACAAATGTTGCAAAGTGTTCTTGTGATATTCCTCAGCCTGTCGTGCTGGCATTTGCTTCGCACTCTTCTCAACCTTTCTGGGTTTTGCTTAACAGTATAATGCACTCAATTTGTTTGCCAATTCCTCTGTGTGTAATTTGTTAAATGGGACATAATCCCCAGACGTTTCCATGCTCCATTCTGCAAAATAAAAAGGTCTTCTGTGTAATGATGAAGTGCTTTGGATTGCTTGTGTAATCAAAATCAACAACCGAATTTACTTCATCAGAATTAGTACTTGTTATTATGCAGTTATACGGAAAGATAGTTTTCAACAACTCAAGAACATCAGCGGAGACAGTACAGTAACTTCCGTTAGTTTTAAACATGGAGGGGGGGGGGGAGAAGTGAATTAATACCTTGGATTAAAACTAATCCTCATTGTGTATTTCTCCTTGTTGCTAAAGATTGGTTGGCATCTTCAAATAATTTCAACTCCACCTCTGTAACCTTTTTAAACCGGGAAGGTACTAATCTGTTGATCTGTTGACAGTTGATTGATGATGAGGGTGGGGGTGGGCGGGGTCACTCCGGACCGGCTGCTCGGGGGATGGTATACCGGGGTCAGCACTCGCGGCAAGTTCTATCTCAATGTCTTGTGCTGATTTCGATTCAATGATTGATGAAAAATACAGAGTAGAAATAAATTTATCTACTTCATCGTCTGACATATCTTGGTGATCGGGTAGTTCCAGCTCAAAAGGTATTGTTTCATCGTCCAGCTGACAGCTAAATTGTTTCGGGACGTTCATTTTGACAGATGCATCAGACGACAGTGTAACTTCCGTTAACGCTGATTTGTGGACTTTTTTAAAATATTAATTTACAGCATGCAAATTATGTATCCATAGCACATAAATAAAATTCAAGTTTATTTTATGATGTAAGAATTAGGCATCTAGGTCGGTCGTTCCGAGTGAGTAGTTTTTGTAGTGTATTACTACGCAGTGTGATCAGGTTACTATGTTTTACACCAGGTCACGTGCTGAAATTCTATGAACACATGTGTTATGCATTTATGAATGACATTTGTGTCAATGGGTCTAAGCATACAGAATGTAAATATAAAATAATATCAACATATTAAATACATATTCCGTAAAACATTGAGTTGAAAAGGTGTAATACACCATCAGTCAAAACTATAAATTAAGTAACATATGCGATACTATGTTATTGACACGGCATCATTCGAGTACCATGCTTTGGCTTTCACTCGACGGTCAATGTAGATGGTCAGATACCGGACGTACTGTATCCGGCGATCTGTTTAGTGTACCTTCATGATTGACAAATTTGCAATAAAGCTTCGAAAGATATAGCTTGTTAAAGACTACTGGCACATTTTCAGGTCGCCATCAGAATCTAATTGGGGATTTTGAGATATTAACATCTAAGCATGTTCTTATCCGTTTTGATTTACCAACAAAGTTTTGTCTTTGAGAACTTCAAAATACTTTGAGTTGACTTATATTTGTCGCCTCTTTGTTATTCTGAAACCTACTAATGCGGAGGAATATTAGTACCTCATGCCACATCGTGCATTTAGAGAAAGCAAAAGTCTTCTTAGTTTCCCCAATATCCCATAATCAGTAGACACCATATTACGGTATAATGCGGTGGACAACACAGCATGGACCGATTAATGCAGGGGACAATACACATTTCTCGTCTTAAACGAACATATCTAATGCAAATTGTCAAATTCGAGTCGTTACATGTATTGCACCTATGATGAATATATCATTGTTTGAAAATTTGAGTAAAAATACTAAACAGATATAAGACAAGAAAGAAAATCCTTGCACCGGGTTTGATGCGGGATATATCTGTCTGAGGTGCAATAATATCAATTCCAGCGACCAGACGAGATAGCACGTGGTATTTGTAAGTATTTAGGTGAAAAAGTTGCAATCAATCATGCTTTTAACAAGGTGAAGTAAATGAAATGCCTAATAACGTATCATATTTGTTAAGTCTATGTGTTTTGACATTAGATACCTTTTATATCTTTGTTTAAACAAAACAACGGTCCCTTGTGTGGAAAAAAACTAGTGTCCATGCCATGGGAAGCACATACAAGAATAGACCATGAATCAAGTCAGTTTTAAGTAACTCTATCCCACTTGAGAAAAAAAAACACTTAAAGTTCACGTGCTTTTTTTACATACAGTTGGGTTCCCCTCATCTTAATTTGGATATTTTATGATTCTTGGCCGACAAGACCAGGGCACAACCACTGTAGCCAAGTAGTTTAGTTAGTTAGAATGGCACTATAATGATGGAGGGTCCAAGTTTGAATCTTTGCTTAGCCTTGTTGCTTTTAATTCGGGCACAGGAGTGGATTATTTATTTATTAATTCACTTGATAACTTATTTGATTTTTTAAATCCAAAAATAATTCACACAGTATTTTTTTTTCCCCGAAAGTTTCTATCAAATATCAAAAATTAAGGCATACTGGAACAAAACTTCCGATGCATATGTGCAGTTTTTGGCAGGGTGTGCTATAACCCTTAACGCATATTATAATTGACATCATTTTAATGTATATCAATTATTAAATACCACTGATTAACTAATATGTAGGTATAGATCATTAAAATATAACAAAAACCCGATTGGTATGTTTCAACGTATAGGGAATGGTAAATAGCACTTTATTGTAAAATGTTTTGTTAGACAAATAACATCTTACCGATATCATAATAAGTGAAGAGAAGTTGATATTAAATGAAAAGTGTTTCTCTTTGCGGTCCATGTGGTTGGAATTAATAATCTGAGAATACTTCGTACGTGTAGATTGCTGAAAATTTCCCACACAAACTACCAAAAAGACATTAAAAGCTAAACGTGTACGTGAAAATAGCATTTGAGAGATGAATATTATGTCATATTTTGTAATTAAAACAAAGCATTACTAGCCATTAAGCTATGCATTCTTATTTTACACGACGATTTTGAGAGAAACAAGATGTATACTTATATTACATAACAAGAGCTGCCAGAAAAACTGCATACCTTGCAAATTAATGATATATTTATTACTAGAAAATGTCTGTAAGATATAAATGCCCTCGCTGATGGGACGGGACCCGACGGGATTGACATAGGGAACACTGTATATCCCCCCCC